AGAGTGCCCTGTAATCAAAGTTCACCGTCCAGGTAGCGGAAGATGATGTATCTAAGTTAACCAAAAAAAAAAAACCCACAGTGGTAAAGCCTCAGTGAGAGCTGCAGTAGGTCACTTCTTTAAGTACTTATTCTTCCATGGAATCATAGAAAGATTGGTTAGGGTTGGAAGGGACCTTAAAGATCATCCAGATCCAAGCCCCCTCTGCGGGCAGGGACACCTGTCACTAGATCAGGTTACTTAGAGCCCCATCCAACCTGGCCTTGAATAGTGCCAAGGGTGGGGCTTCCATGACCTCCCTGGGCAACCCGTTCAGGAGATGCTCTGTGGTCATTAAGAAAAACTGTTCATCTCATAAATTATCGACTTCGTGGTGGAAAATACCACAGGAGCAGTTTCATCTCCAGGTGGACAGCAGCTCCAACTAACACTGAAAGTGCTATGGCATATTGGTATAGACCTATGTGTGCTCGACCCAGACTGGGATCTGAATTTTCTGGCTGGGGGGGGATTTCTTGCCTCCACAGGTTGAACTGAGATACAAAACTAGAACAACATGGTCACTGGCCTGCAAGGAGAGACAAAATCCAGCGCAAAATACACAACCATTTTTTTCTGAGCCAGGCCCATGTATCTATTAATGCAGGTTTTGAGAAGAACCCAGTAAAAAGAATCCTCTGCTCATTAGATTAACGACACTATAATAAAGCATAAGCCTGCTTAGATTTAGTTCACAGCACAGCAAAAGACTCATTTTGCTTTTATGCTGCCAATTACATTTTTAGTTTAAATTAAAAACAAAAACAAAGCAAAACACACACACAAGACAAAACAAAAACCCCAAAAACCAAGAAAGAAGACCAGAAAACTGTTACTGCCCTTTAAAGGCACATTGTTATTCATCATCAGTGCATTTTAGTTTCCACTTTAGGTAGAATATGAAGGATTAGGATCTCAGTGAAAGAGGGGGACAGAATAAATTGCATCCTCTGCCAAAGAACTGCCAGACCTTTTCAGACGGGTGCATACCATGAGCCCTTCCCGTGTTAGTCAGCTTTATCTAAACCTTCCCAAGCAATGTCTGCCCCTGAATTTCATGGGTTTCAGGGTCAGTCACAACAGAATTGTGGGGCTGGGGAGGTCAGAGGCCATTTTTGTCAAAGGGTAGTGACCTTAGCAGCAAGAGGTAGCCTGACAAAAACAGGATTCATGGCAGTGAATGGAGTTCTCACTGCTCTTCCCCCGCTGAGTCTTTTTTCTACCTGGTAATGAAAAATCTTGAAGAATTGTAATGGATTTTTATGTGTACATACTTATATGTTTCTGTATGTGCATACATTATGTATGCTATGCTATAATGGATATAACAATATATTATATTGCATATATTACATCTGTCTTTCATTACATGTTTTAACCCATGAAAATAATCACACTTTAAATAAAATGTTTAGTAGTTGTGAGAAGAGAGGAGGAAAGCAAAAGAAAGAGAAAGAAAGAAAGAAAGAAAGAAAGAAAGAAAGAAAGAAAGAAAGAAAGAAAGAAAGAAAGAAAGAAAGAAAGAAAGAAAGAAAGAAAGAAAGAAAGAAAGAAAGAAAAGAAGTAGAAAATAATTAGAAAAAGAAAAAATGAAAGTGGAGAAAGATGAAAAGGAAGGAAAAAAAGGGAAGAGAAAATGAAAATTAGATTGAATGTTTTTGCATGTGGTACAAAAGCTCCTTGAGAAAGATTAGTCACATGTTTACTTTAAATACACATAAATACATGGCTAGGCAAGAAACAGCAGTTTCAGTTTCCATGAACAAGGGAAGGGCTTAACTAACAGGCTGCAAGCTCTGACTCAAGAGGTTTGGCAATTTGTACTAGGATGATTTAAGACATTCCTGCCCCTAACTAGCCATTTCTACCCAGAGGTTATCACCATCTCATGAGCTGCTGCACTTCCCAGCCTGGTATATGCCCCTGTGACCTGAAAGCTGTGGCAGTTTATATTAATATGAACTGCAGTGGTCAAGGAGGAGTCTGCTTTTCCCTTGCAGTGCTTCTGATGCAGATGGTGATGGTGACCTCTGTAGAGCTGTGTTCAGTCATCTATATATTGCGCCCCCATGAATGTCCAGTTTAAATTTCAATGCCTTCATCAGGAAGCAGTTCAATGGTAGTTGGCAGCATACCTTCAGTCTCCTGTGGTGTCAACATAAGTTTCTAAATGATTTAAAAAAAAAAAAAACAGCTGTGGAGCTTCTTTTGCAAAAAAAATTTCAAAGCCCTGGCTGACCAATGGTGTTCTGTGGCTCTTTGTTATGAGCAGCTTTGTGGTGCTACTGTTCATCAAAATTCTTTCTCCCAGTACTTTGTGTGTGGCATTGCAGTTCTCCACTCAGAAACTCTTCATTATTTTTGGTGCTGACACTGTCCAATATTCATTTTCCTTCTTGAATAATCTCCCTGGGCTCTTCAAGTCAGGGTAACTGAGTTGTCCCAAAACATGTTGAAGGACATAGCACGTTTGTCTACTAAAATAGTCTCATTTTCTCCACTCTTTCAGTCAATGCAGATCCGACTTTATTTGGTTTAACAAGCTTTTGTAAAAAATGTAGGAAATGCTACTAGCTTCTCTTGAGGAATGTAGGAAATGCTACTAGCTTCTCTTGAGCTTCTCTAGGGGTTCATCCCTTTCCAAATCTTTCCAAAGACTCATCTTTGAATTCCTGGTCAGTTCTGCCTACAATCATGTCACCAACGTGTTTGGTCCTAGAAGGTACCATGGCAGGTCACGGTCAATAGTCCATCAGGTACTGGAGATCAATCAGTGTTCTTGTGAGTGAGTGAATACGGTCACAGGGCTCTTGGCAGATGCAATGCAATGCAGAGATTTGGAGTTCATTGGGGAAGAGAAAGTACATTTTCCTATTCTAGTGACTATTTTGCCCATACTAATTTCCCACAGTCCAGATAAGGCAGGTATTTCTATGCTTATTAATAATCAATAGGCTAGAATCGATGCTTTGGTTTAAAAATCTCCAATACCACAATGCAAAGTAGGACTTTGGCTTCAAAACTCCAGCTGCTAAAGACTGGCCACTAAAAGAAACACATTACTTACTTTTCTCATGTGCAGACAATTTTACCTGGAGGTAACTTGAATAAGAATAAAATAGTTAACCTGAGCCTGATCTCTACTGTCCTTAATAAAAGTGAAAAGTAAATTTTATTGGGTAATAACACCAGCAGACAAGGGTAAAATTTCAGTGGTCTGCGACACCAGCCCAGGAAATAAGGTTTTTATCAGGTACAAAAGGTAGAGATAAACTCCCACCATGCTTCTGAAAAGCCCACCAGGGTCTTGGCTGAACACCTAAGAGCCGGAACACTTGCAGAACCTGTCCTGGAACCTCCTCCTCCTTTAATCCTTGCAGATTTCCAGCTCATTCTTGTCGTTACATTAGACCCCGAAGTCTCATCAGTTTACCCACTAGTTAAACATACAAGGTATGAGAATTCTCCCACTTCATTTACTCAGCTAAGGAAAAATGGCTTTTCCATTTCCAGTATTCCAGTGGCAACACATTTGTTACAAGGTGCTGTAAAGAAGATAGTACATCTTACCTGCCACAGGGTGTGTGCACTGGCTTGTGTGAGCAACAGCAGCTGGACTCACAGCCTTGAGCCCTGAGCACTTTCAGCTGAAAGCACAGGAGTAACACTGAGAGTTGAATGGCTGAGAGTTGTACATGCTCTCAAGTCCTTCTTTGGATCAAAACAGACATTGCCACATTAAGGTTTTTTGAAGGTTTGCTTCTCTGTTTAAGTAAATTTAAATAGTACCTATTTTGTTTCAAGAACTTTATTTGAGCATGAAAATCCCTCATATATCTTGCACAACTGTACAAATAACACTTTTATCCATTTTAGGCAGAAACACGGTTATCATCACACTGGGTGCTATCAAAGGTTTTATTTACAAAAACAATTACTAAAATGCCTGATGTCATATTTCCATTTATTTATTTCTTACCCATAGGGTAATATGTCCACCATAATTGCTTGGTGCATTTTATAATACAGAAGAAAAAGCTATGTTAATAAAATCTAACAAAACCTCACAAATAGCTAGAAATCTGACAGAAAATGTCTAAGAAAAATTCTCCCTGGAATACCATTCATTTTTTGACACATACACAGTACAGAATAAGTTCAAAGGCACAGCTTTGAATTTTCCTTTTGTAGAAGTATATAGAATTATCACCACGTGAAGGAATTGAGAGAACAGTTTCATACCTGTCAATAGGCAATTAAATGAATAATCATGTTTGCATTGTCATTTTCTTTACATAACTGCTTTTTTTGTCATATTTAACATATGTGGCTCTGAATCTGAAATCTTCCCAGTCCCCAAGTCCCTTCTTAACCTTGTCATTACTGACCAGAGAAATTAGATTTTTTGACATTGTGCAAACTTAACACAAATACATATATAACAAGAACAATAGCCAACTTAAGGCAGTGTATAATTCAATGCTACATGTATTTTCTTCTCTTTTGTAAAGATCAAAACTTACTGGATCAACAGAAAGGTGCATCAATATACAAAGTTAAGTGTAAACTGAAACCTACTAAACCACATGTCTTTTAAGGAGCCAGATAGAGGAATTGATATGAACAGGTGATGACTTGGCAGAATGGTTTTAAAGAAATACATTAAGAGCTTAAAAGAAGGACAGATTACAGAGTTTTGTTGAGGGTGAACTTCCTGTCTTTAACTCAAGTTATAAATAGATCCTGTTCCAGTACTTTTTTTTTTTACTTTTTTTTTTTAACGTGTGTGTGTGACACTCATTAATATTTGTCAATAAGAGAGGAGGCAAAAATGGCTCACTCAAACTGACATTGCAAAAGGTTGGCCTATATGCCAGAATTAAAAAAGGCACAGATTGGCCCCAAAAGTGGTCTAGAACAGCACAAAATTATTTTTCAGCTACAAGAACATTCAGTCATGCTGGCCTGCAACCTGCCCACATTATGAACTACATTTATCTGCCCAGGATCTTTTCCATCTTCACCTCCCTTGAAGAACGTCCATGAAAAATCCCACAAAACATGAAGTTTTTATAATTCTTTAAGTATATGGGCTTAGCTGATACCAGTCATTTTCATTTAGCCCAACCTGTGGTGGCCTCCCCATTGATGTAGGCAAAGCCAGGAAAGTGTTGCATGTGCTCATATTCAGAATTTCTGCGGGTAGTCAAAGGGGTGTACATGTCACTAGAGTTTCCATATCTTGTGGAGTGCATGGATGGGCTTGTGTAGCAGGAGTTTGCAGCTGGGACCTCCGGCCAGCGAGGAGTCACGGGTGTGGGATGCAGCCTTGGAGTACTGCTCATCAAACAGGGCTCCATTCTTGATGTTGGGCTGTTGAAAGGGTACTACAATAAAAACAAAGAAAAACAAATTTAGGAATTATCTACCATATACCTGATTTTAAAATAAAGACTGGTGGTTTCACAACTCCCTGTTTAACAAACCAAAATCATATGAGTTAGCAGCCCTCCAACAACTAGGTAATGTACTGAAGGTGGAATATCAGATAACTAGTGCCTGGAGTCAAAGCATTGTCAGGAAAAGTCTTGTAAAACAGTCACTGCATTTAAATACCAAATTAATGTATTGAAGAGCTCAGCACTGGTAGGCGTATCTGTGAGCAGAAAATTAAATTGAATTAGTCTCATCTTTTTCTCACATCTCTTACTTGGAAACTTGGCTAGTCAGTAAAAAACAATATAAAATCTTCCAGCTCCTGCACACTCAACTGAGTTTTAAAAGAGGATAGCAAAAGTGTCTTTATTACTGGAAAGGTGCTTTCCCTTTTAAATGCTCACAAGCCAACCTGCCGGTTTCTGCAGAAAAGTAGTATGGTCAGGCCTCGGAGCAAGCAGCTAATTGGAAAACTTGTAGAAAGAGGAAGGCAGCAGAAGAATCTCTCTATTCTCCAGCTGTTTGCAGTGACAGCTGGAAACTAGAAATGAAAGGAGTTCAACAAATGCCTCCCCCTAAGGAAAAGATGTGACGAGGACAGGATAGGCAGGAAAACAAATAAGAGTTCTTGCCCTCTATAGCCACTGGTTGTCCAGCAACAGAAAGTAAACTGTGTTTATGATTGTTCCCTTTACATGTATTTATCCTATTGTCTGTCTTACAGGAGTGGATGAGCTGTGTGCTGTGCCTAAGAAATGGCTCTCCCTGCCTTGCCCTCCTATCATCCACCTGCATTGCAGAGATGGTTAGGATCCTTGTCCCTCTTGGCCAGCCATGTATCTTCAGACCGTCTACATTCTAGACATTAATCTATTTTCTAAACAAAACAAAACCACCACAAACAAACAAAAACCCCACAATATAAAATGTCAATATCTTGGATTGTTTGGCACTTTGGTATTTCCTTAACCATAAAGCTGTCACCAAAGTCAGACTATCATCTCTTCTGATGCTTACAAACCTCACAAGCTGCACAACAAAACTTTATATGGCCATAGAACCCCTTCCCCATATTTTGGAGGGTTATGGAGAGAAGAGCTGCTGTACTTCTTCCCAGGAGTGAGCTGGCAGTGATTCCCAGTTCTCATTACATTACTTCACTGCTGGATGGGGCTGGGGTTAATCAGTTGCATAAGTGGGTCCCCAAGGCAATTACTGCAATGTCTCCATGAGGAGTTTCTGCTGATTCCCTCCAGACCACAGCCAGGAAGGCAGCCCTGCCCTTGCAAATGTATTTGAACAGTTCACAAGCCTTAGGCAGCTCAAAAGCCACACACTGGCCACTCCTAATTAAAGAGGAGAAAAACACTTTTTTTGACCAACTTACTGTAGTCAGTGATTTAACATATTCCACTGGTCCTGGGGACACGGGCCAGTTAGCAGATAAGAGAGAAGACCTGTGATGCATTATCTAGTCTGTACTTCTCATCACCACAGAGACTGTGGATTTACTTGTGCCATTAGCTGCTGAAATGGGCTGCTAAATGGCAGCACCATACTGGAACATCAACACTTCAACTGGTACTGCTAATACAGTGATAAGAATAAGCTGTACTAGCAACACTGGCAAGAAGTCTATACAAAATAATCTAAATTTCCATCTTCACCAGGAGAAAGGCTTTTCAGTAAGAAAATTAAACAGAGATTAGGCACTGACTGCAGAAATCCTTACATTCCTTTGCAGAAGAATCAAGTTTTCAGACTTGACTTTAAAGAAGCTTTTGTTGAAGGTAAGATCTGCTGATGCCCAGCAACAGTGAAACTCAGGCTTTGAAGTTTTAAACAAGGTGATTTTAGTTTAGGATAATGGTTGTTTACTTTAACTCATGAATTAAGGACAGGGCACTCTGTTAAAACAAAACCAACTTGCAAATATTCTAAGTAAATATAAGAAGTTCCAGAAAGTTGAACAAATTCCATTTTTCAGTGTTTGGGAGACTAATAACTTTAGGATGCTGCTTTCCTGGTCTGCCCTGGCAATACCAAAAGTAATTTTCATGCTAGTGTTTGCTGACTACCTCTTCTGAACATCTTCATGAACAAAGCTCTTGCCATAATGAATACAGAGGAAACAAGTTGTCTTGTGATCCACTATAGCTTCAGAGTTCAATTAATCTCACCTAACTTTAGTTACCAGAAAGTCAGGCACCTAGTAAAAGTGAGTTATCCGTGCTCTGTCTACAGGCACTGGAAGAATGTATCAAATCTCAAGATTAGTATTTAAGACAGAAGATGAGCAGTCCTCAGAAGATGGCCCTTTTCTTCCTCCTGCTACATGATGTAATCCATTAGCTATGTTGGCTGAAGTTAAGTAAAAGTAACTTTTCTGTAGCAGTCAAATCCATAAGATATTTTTCCTGGCTGACCTCAAATGTCCCATGAATGATTGTGTACAAAATGCTTTGAGATGGTAGAAGTCAGGAGCAGGCTAGATCATTGGTCAAAAAACACACCACATGAAGAATACCTATTTAACTTTGTTTTCTGTATGCCAACTGTGGGACTGCAAGATGTGGGCCAAACTGGAAACATTCTTATTTGGCTTCAGTAGTGTTTTACTTGATACCAATTATCATGGTCTGTGCCTTTACTACCCGTTGATCTATACCTGAAGTCACAGTAGATTTCTGTATTAAGGAATATGCTTCCAAGATTAATCTAGACTTTTGCCATAATACACTTACAATTATCTGTTGTCTTTTTTCCAATGTGACAATTGATCTACTCTGTTGTTAATTGGAACAGAATCCTTTGCCATCCTGACTCTGTGCCATTTTCTTTTGAGGTTGTGAAACTGGGGTTGCAACTTGTAACAGGAGGATTAATTGCATTCACACCCCTACAAATGTCTAGTTTCCACCCGGATAATTTGCTTCTTGATAATTTGTAGACTGCAAAACTTTCATCTCTGAGCAAGAGAAACAAAATGAAGCCTGGAAATACTGTGGTGGGTCTCCTGATTGTACATGACACTGTGTGGGGAAGCCACGTAATATATTTTAGGTAGTTTGGACACACAAAACCCGTGCTGTTGGGGGAATTAAACCTTGGCTCCCAGAATGAATTTAGAAATGCACTGAAAAAGAAAGATAATCCTCCTCCTATCTGCGGTCAAGAGGCCATGCTAAAGCTTGCTAAGAAGGCAGGGCTAGGGGCTGTGCATGAGAGGACAGGATACAGTGTGCTGCTTTTGCTTTTCACCAAGTGCTCCCAGTGCAGCTGTGTTTATGATTGTGTCATGAATGTAAGAATAATTGCTTGAAAATAACATGGACTCTAAATATCTAGTATTTTACAATAAATTCTGTTATGACTGAATGCAAGACGGAAAGTTCTGTAAGGGCAGGTCAGCTAATCGCAAATGAGTCAGTGTCTTCTTTTTTCCTACAGTGAAGAGACTATTGAAAAGCAATATTTTTTAAGTCCTCATTGTA